CTGCATGCCCTACTAGACACACTAAACCCACAACCCTAACATTACCAGGTATATGTCCACCACGGAGCTGTGGCTAACAAGCGTCTGGTCCGTCGGCTGGAGTGGAACAGGTTGGGAGCTGAGGATTGGCGGGTGTGGGTTTAGGGTTTAGGGTTTAGGTATTAGGGTTTAGGGTTTAGGGTTTAGGAGGTTTAGGTAGGGATTAGAAGATTTTCAGGTGCGCGTTCAGGAGTTTGGGGCTCAGAGGCTGTGGGTTTCAGGGTTAGGGATCTGTGCTGACTTCACAATTACTGTATCACATTTTGCGCCCTTCTTGATTATTTTAAAGCCGCTTCCATGATGGCAAGTTCGTGATCTTTCTGGAGCATAGAGCTTCACTTTGATAGGTAACCATTGTCTAAACTCCGAGTATCCCTCCCCCTTAATAACCCCTGCAATACTCCCCTATATAATCCCTCATACAACCCCTCCCTTCAGGAGCTTAGACTATAGCCGGATGACCGTAAACCCTATGATATGAGAGTCTGCAGGCCTGTCCGGCCTGAGCTTCGTGAACAAAGGGAATTTGCCTTCGGCCATGGGAATTCTTTACCTTTCTGGAAACCCTAAACAGAGTCAAGGGCTTAGGGTTTTGAACCCCTAAACATAGGGTTTGAAAATATGTCTTATCTTTTATTGAACCGAATCCCTACTTCATCCTGATGGGGTCATAAGAGTTTAGTTTTGATAGCCCCCCCCCCTACCCCAGTAATTAAATCCAAATCCCCAGTTCTTTGGGGATGGATCACAAGGGGCTGTTCTGTGGCGTGTACACCAAGACTACATGTAGCTTCGTCGCTAGTTGCACACCAAGTCTAGAATACGTAAAGACCGTAAAGTCGACTAACCTTATGCAGAAACAACAGCATAGTTGTGGTGTTGGAAACTTGTTAATATAGGGTTATATTAAGATATTGGGATTATATCGTGATAATAGAAAATAAGATGGAAACTACTAGAATACTGGGGTTACATAGGGGCTATATTGTTCCTTTGCAATGGTGTTTTTGAATGTTTAGCTTCGCAGCCGCCAGCCGCGGCCATTAACGACCGAATTCGCGTGTACTGTACGTAAGCGTCTTAAGTAGGCACAACAATTGATAGCGACAAACCTGAATTCCCTTGAGTGCCCTAGACCGTGGGATTTCTGCTGTTCTGGTACACGAATGTCATGCAGAAGTTTTAGTGTCAACTGCATTTAGACCTTGAGGTCCAATGCTGCTGTGATTTCTAGACATTCCCCAAGGTAAGCCCAGATGCCATGCCCTAGCACGTCGAGAACTTGCTGTATTCTTGAAAGCCCTACACCCCAAACCATCTACGCTCCCGGAAACTAACATGGAAACCCAAAAAGGGCCCTATAAAGACTACAGTCGTTCTAAAAGTGGGTTATATGGGTTTCCATGTTAGTTTGGGGGAGTGTACAATCCTTATAAAGTCCTTGCAACATCGCTGCAATGGGCACTGCAAGGGTTTGCCTGACTGACAGCAGGGTTCAAGGTTCAGTTCAGTGGTTCAGACACATACACAATATGAGCGCTGTAGTCCAAACTCCCTAAAGGGGGTTATATGAGCTATAGTCTAAACTATTCTTCAAAGGGGGTTACGCAGGGATTCTATAGGGTTTAGGGTTTAGGGTCTAAACTCCCTCAAGCGGGCTATATAGGGACTAGATAGGGTTCCTATTGCAAAACTTTTTAGGGGGGATGTTGGGAGCATAGACTATAGCTCATATGGTCCGACCTACAGGCTCTACCTGTTTCCTGGCTCCCAAGTATGGGCCACTGACGGGGCTTGTGGGGCTTTGAAGGGCTGCCAACATCAGGGTTGCCAACCAAAGAGGTGGACATACACTCCCCCAAACTAACATGGAAACCCATATGAGCTGTAGTCTAAACTCCTTAAAGGGGTTATATATAGGGGATTATATAGGGGACTACTATAGGGGTTATTAAGGGGGATACTCGGAGTTTAGACTAGAGCTCATATAGTCCCCCTTTAGAGGAACTGTAGTCTTTATAGGGCCCTTTTTGGGGTTTCCATGTTAGTTTCCGGGAGTGTAGTTTTTGCCTTTGGTAACTTAGCATCGTCCTGAATGCAGCTATTTGAAGACGCCAAGCCTGCGGGCTCCATGGTTAAGGTTCGTATGCGTCCTCTAGAACCCAGCTCATGAGAGCCCATGTTTTAAGGAGCCCGCATAGGACGCCCCGCAGAGCTCACCCTGCCAAGCGCCCCCAGGCCCCCAAAAGATATAAACTTGAACCTGGAAGTTTCGCACTTGGACCCTTTATGCCCTACTCAGCCTGAAATCCAGGACCCCGAATTCTTGAACGCAAGCTCTTCAAACCTCAAGCCGAAAGCCCTCATCCCTAAACCCTTCAGAATATAGTGGCGTTCATGTCGTTTACCATTCAGATTTGGGACTTAGGGTTGGGATTTAGGATCTAGGGTTACCATTCTTTTCTTTGCTGCCATCAGTAGGACCGGTACATAACCCTACCAAGGCCCTCCTTGTATTCGTGAACAGGTGTAGATTCGGGAGATGGTCTCCAATAGCGGGTATTTTGGGTATAATAGAGGGTAGAAGGAGGGCCCGGGTGTAGAATCATGTCCGTTTTTTCCATCTGAGTTTCTGTTTCACTTTCCACTCTCCACTACCCGGGAGATATTGGAGCCCCCTCAAAATCCGCCGCAACCCCTATTTAAGCCCTACAAACCCCAAACTCTAAACCCCAACCCCCACACCAAAAGCTTCCATGCTTTGGAGACAAGGTCCGACAAAGGCAAACCTCAAAACCAAAACCCTTTACCTTAGGTGGACCCCCCACCCTGTAATAGTGACTATAACGGATCATAAGAATCATCTTAGGGTCCCCTTATATTCCTATTATACCACTATTACAGGGTGGGGGGTCTACCAAAGGTAAACCCTAAACCCCAAACCCTCCTAACCTATACCCTACAATCCTTCCCCCTTTTTTGTGAAAGTCTCAGGTGTAGAGGTGACCTTCCCCGACAGAGGACTTTTGGGCGCCCCCGCGCTGATAGATTCTCGCTTGCTTCACCTGGAGGGTCTAGGGTTTAAGGATAAATGTTTAGGGTTTAAGGGTATGGGTTTAGGGTTTAAGGTTCAGGATTTAAGTTTAGGGATTATCTGCAGGTTTCAGGGTTTAGGTTCGGGCTCAGGGTTTAGGGCTGTAAGGTTGAGTTTTGGCGGGGCTCGGGTCCAAATATCCAATTTTTTGGATTTCCGGTGCACATGCCCCAGTCTGAAAGGTTCCTGGAACCTTAACCCTTCTTCTACCCTCTGTTTCACTTTAAATACCCCACCTCTGCGGACCATATGGGTTGTTCTCAATATTATGGGCGGCTTTCAGGTATATATTATATTGCGACACCTAGTATTTAAGGGTACCAAAATGGGACCCTGATTTAGGGAACTACCCATATACCCCTATTAAAGGGTACAAGGAGGGTCCGGGTAATAACAGCCTTGCTATGTGGGTACTTGGACTCTCTGGGAAGGGTTTGATTCGATCCGATTATGTTGCATGTGTCTGTGTTCGGTGTTCAGTGTGCAGGGGGTTCCATGCAAAGGGGCCCAAAAGAAAGACGACTATACAAGATAGTCCCTTTTTTAGGGACTCCCACAAGGGGGCCCACTTGTTTCAGACCCCGAAATAGGGCTTGCTCCAGGTCACTTTAAGGGAAAGGGTTCAGGGTGCAGGATCGATTTGCGGCGGCATTTAGATAATCCAGGGGTCTTGGGTTGGGTTAAGGCTAGTATAAAGGGACTCTACTGGGAACCCCAAATAGGGAACCCCAAGAATATAACAGGAATA